GCGTTGGTATAGTATAATCCCGATATGCTTCAATGTGTTTGTTTGTTTGTTTGCCTGGTCTGTCTATGCAAATCAACTGAAAACGAACCGAAAACAGTCGGACTCTGCGCTCGTTGTGGCTGCTCCGGGTGCCCAGAGCTCGGACCTGGGGATCACGGATCTCACGGGTGCGGACACGAGGCTCAACGGACGCGGCGCCTCGTCAGTTTGGCCGTGGCAACAACATTTAAAGCACTTTTTGCAGTACCCACACCCCCACACTACTTTATAGACAGTGGGTAGTAGAGATGGGCGAACGGCGATAGGCAGCTGGTTCGATAGCTCGGGAAAATACTCGATAGTCACGACACTAGTAGGCAAATACGTTTTTTTTCGTTTTGTTTATTATGTATTTCAGTAGTCGATTTCAATCCAAGCATTTCGAACTTAGCTGTTCTGCAAATAACACTTTGTATGTTGTCCGTCTTCCAATAACTGCAAAATCTAATTGGAAAGCGCACTCGATCAAAAAAAATCGATTTTTAAATATCGAACCAGCCGATTAGCCGTCAATCGATTGACTGGCATACCGAAATTTGTGCATTGCATTTATTGTAGTATTTTCCATTCAGTGCCTCCTGGTCACACCGCGAAGCATTTACAAATAAATTCCCCTGGTTGTGTTGTTGTTCATTTTTTTCGTTCCGTTACATAGCACGCTAAAATAAATATCCGAAAGGTAAATACGATCAGCTGAACGGCAGGTGATAATGCTGGATATATATCCCGGGCGTGAAACAAGAGCGGATAAGATAAAAATCGCTGCGCGTGGCCAGGAAAAATCTGGGCCACCTGAAAGCGATCGAAGAGCGATAACAAGATAAAATAGAAAACGTACTGGCGTGTACAGTGGAAAGCAGAAATCTAGGAAATATTAGTTAAACAGTGGGAGAACATGACGCATTGTTTGCATTTGTATAGATTTGTTCGATAGTGTGTGTCTGTGTAAAGTGCGCGGGCTTCTCGGTGTGAGTGTGGTGTGTGTATGTGGGCAGTAAAATACGCGTTAATTGGCCAATTTTACAGGAAGCAAAACAATAAGTAGTTTTATTCTCCGCCAATGCGTAATGTGCTCGAAATAAACATAAACCCAATGTTCCAATTATTTCATCAGCAGTGCGGCACGCACACAAATGCACTCGGCACACAGCAGTGTATCGATACACGCGATTACCGATAACGCGTCCAACATATGCAATTACCATCGTTTTCTTGTTTTCCCCGTTATAACAGAAAAAGAAAACATTGTATAACGTATTTCCCCCGGAAAAACAGAAAAGAAAGAAAACACGAAAATATGCAGCGACTGTAGGCTTAACTAGCCACCCCACCCAACTTCCTCCGCCCACAGATTTTTTTTCATATTGGTTTCTCTGCCTTTGTGTAAGTTCATTTGCATGCAATTTGAATGTAGTCGAGTCGAGATCGGAGCTCTTCGATGTTCTCGGATCTCCATATTCTGTATATAAGGCTGGGGAACTGAACATCGCACTTCTTATTCTCGCTTCATAGACGCCGAAGAGTAATATACCCTCCATATATTAGATCTTCACTATATATCTTGAGCCAACCAGTTGAAACAAATATATTTATCTCGACGTACTTGTATTATTATTATCCAGGGACTTACTTTCTAAAAGAGCAGTGGAAAATAATGCGGGATTCCCCTCACGATTCCCACGGCATACTAAGTTGCCAGTTATTAAAGAGCCCAACTGCTTTACACTCAGATTAACTGAACTTTACATTTATGACAACAATAGTTGTGCGAAAGATAATAGTTAAATCAAATTTATTGTTTCTCAAGCGGCTACTCTATTAGGCTCGACCCACAATGAGCGCGCAAATCGTTAAGCAAATAAGTTGCCCATTAATTGTTAACCAAAATTGGCTTTCCATTCACCATTGAAATGAAAAGAAGCGCCTCTCAATAATTAAATCACTTTAAGGCTTTGTTTAATTGCACAAATACGAAGTTAGTCAAGTATGGAATTATTATTGTATTATTTAGTATCACATCAAGGCTTCGAAGGCTGACTAGAATACTTACAAAGTGATTGAAACGTATACAATCCACCAAAACTCAACTGACCATGTCTATACTTTTCAGTTAGAGATCAGCCGATTCCAGAATGCTTTCGCTGCAGAACCAACGGCAACCGAAGACCACCCCACTGGTGGACGACTACGAGGTCTCGGACACGGTACTGGGCCTCGGGATCAACGGGAAGGTGGTGCAGTGCACCCACCGCCTCAGCAAACAGAACTATGCCCTCAAGGTGCTGCTGGAAAATGAGAAGGCGCGTCGCGAGGTGGATCTGCATTGGCGTGTCAGCGAATGCCGGCACATTGTGAACATCATCGATGTCTACGAGAACACCTATAGAGGCAGAAAGTGCCTCCTAGTTGTCATGGAGTGCATGGAGGGCGGCGAGCTCTTCCAGAGGATCCAGGATAAGGCCGATAGCGCATTCACGGAGCGGGAGGCGGCCCAGATAATGCACGAGATCTGCGCGGCGATAGACTATCTGCACAGTCGCGACATTGCGCATCGCGACCTCAAGCCGGAGAACTTGCTGTACACCACCTCTCAGCCGAACGCGATCCTAAAACTGACGGACTTTGGCTTCGCCAAGGAGACATTCAGCAATTACACGCTGCAGACGCCCTGCTACACTCCCTATTACGTGGGTGAGTGGCTTTCGGAGGGATTATCATTATCAGTTGCTGGTTAAAGAGCACATTGGGCGCGAAAAAATGCTCTATAATTGTTAAAATTCACTGTTTATCTACTCTGAATTATGGCATGGCATTTTTGATGGCATGGCCGGAAACTGCATGACAGGCATTTGACTTATTGACTTAATTATTCACCACACAGCTGATAGTAAAATGAGTTTTATAAGTCAGCTCACCCCCCTTACATAATTTATTGAGTTAACTTTAACTATAACTTCTGTAAATCAATTCAGCCTTGTTCTCAATCTCGTTGCGAAAGCGTTGTTCGAAAGTTTGCACTTAATTTGCAATAGAACGGAAAGAAAGATTTCGAATATATCAGGGGATTTAGTTCTCATTCCACCATCGAAAGTTAATTTCCGTCGTGAATAAGTATTTTTTGCTTCTGAATTGTTCCGATTTTAATCATATGTTCATTTTGCAGCGCCCGAGGTTCTGGGTCCGGAGAAGTACGACAAGAGCTGTGACATCTGGTCGCTGGGCGTGGTGATGTACATCATTATGTGCGGGTTTCCGCCGTTCTACAGCAACCACGGCATGGCCATTTCGCCCGGCATGAAAAAGCGCATCCGCACCGGCCAGTATGACTTTCCCGATCCGGAGTGGACGAATGTGAGCAAGGCGGCAAAGGATCTGATCAAGGGCATGCTGAATGTGGATCCCAGCGAGCGTCTGCGCATCCAGGACGTCATAAGCAACAAGTGGATTGCCCAGTACAATGACGTTCCACAGACACCGCTTTGCACGGGTCGCATGCTGAAGGAGAGCGAGGAAACCTGGCCGGAGGTGCAGGAGGAGATGATGCGCTCGCTGGCCACTATGCGCGTGGACTACGATCAGGTGGGTCATCCGCATTGCTAGCATGGCAAAGTAAACAATACCTCGCCATTGTTTTGTCTGTGAGGTAAAACCCAAGGAGAGTTTTCCACTCTATTATATAACATTACTCATTTGCTTTGCACCACGTATTGTGTGCAGCCTTTGCGGTCCATTTGTTTATACAATGGGAAAATAAATTTCAATTTTAGTCTGCTTAAGCAATTAGCAAGTAGACTGCTTCTTAGCCCCCTTTTTTCTGCCAGTCGCTAACTGGAAAGTCGCCAATTATACGAACTAACAGGAATGCGGAGGTTAATGCGCCTGGAATGCTTTGATTAGTTTGACCCTTTGAAAGGAAATCCCTGTTAATTGACCTTTTCTATCTTTCAGATGCAAATCAAGGCGCTGGACAAGTCGAACAACCCGCTGCTGACGAAGCGCAGGAAAAAGATCGAGGAGTTATTTGCAGCCAATGCGAAGCGCCACTAAACGACGTGGCAGCCAGCAATAATACGGCCAATCCGGGAGTGAGATGGGCGTAGGACGTAGGATGGATGAACCATCGGATTAACACTTAAGCGGATAACAATGTTGTACAATGCTTTACAAGAACGATAAATACTACTATACTACGACGACGGCAGCACCTGCTATTAACTACTACGATGATAACAACAACCTCTGCAAATCAACTACTCCATGTTATATTACGTTACGTTTTCTTTTTTCATTTTGTCCATTATCTATGTATAATCCATTTCCAGTAAAGGGTTCTTAGGGTATTTTGTAGTCTGAAAAGTGCTCTTTTGTAAAAGAAACTAAAGCGTAATGCGTGAATAACGAACTTAAGTAAAGCCAAGTGCAAGCCTAGCTAGCCAGCCGAATATGCAAAATGCCTCGGTATCGCGTGAAAGTGTTTCGTTTTGTCGACTTTTTTTGAAAACGTGTCAGTTGTAACCGAACTTTTTTTACGTGTACGTGACTTTGATTATAATTATATATGCATATGTATAATCGTATTGTATATGTATGTATGGTATATGTGTGGAGAAACAATTATACAGCCAGTTGACGTTTGCATTAATCTGCGAAAGATTCAGTGTTGGTTCTAACTTTTATTTGCTGATTCTGCAAGCGATATACCATTTTACCGTATAGCGTATTTGTAGTCCATAAACAAGAACCCCCCAAAATAAATAAAAACAAATCAAGCTTATTTTACTTTGATTACTACCGAACATTGCCTTCATTTCCACGCGAAGTGGATCAGTGCACGCTTTAGAGGGAGATGCCAACAAGTGGTTGGTGGACAGTCCTCTGTGGACTGGAGCTGGATCCACTATAGTCCCAGTTCAGGGGGCATATCGTAAGGTAATCATGGTATGGACTGAAGAAACGAAAACTCCGCTGAATTTGGGGTGTCATTTATTTTCCATTTCCATGATCAACAGTGCTCCGGCATTTGAGCCAGCTACATACATATATCATCAACGATGCTTTTCGCGTGGGTGTTGAAAACCTGGGGCTTGTGGGCTGGATTGGGGCGTGGCTGGGGTGGAGTGGAGTGGAGCGGGGAAATGGGGAGGAGGAGGTGGTTGCAAATAACAATTTGCCAACAGTGTGGGCCCACAGCTGCGAGAGGCCGCGATTACAATACCCGACTAAAGGCTACGACTAAGACAATAGTTAACATTCACGTACATCCATCGCCAATGGCTTAACTACAGATTTGTGGGTGATTCGGTTATTCGTGTCGTCTCTTTGTTAGTTTGTTGGTTTTTTGCTCTTTTTTTTTTAATCAACGTCTGAAAGAGGTTCGTGCTGTGGTTTTTGTCTGCTCTACTGTATCGTTTTCACTTTTTTCTTATTACTTTTTTTTTGTCGCGTTTTACGTTCACCTTGACGTAGTTTCAGTTGCGCGTTATATCAATTTACAAAATATGTGACAGAAAATTCGCTTAGAAAAATACATTTGGTTGCTCTGCTTCCTGTCCTCGGTTTTTACATTTTTTTTGGTTTTTTTTTGTTCCATGTACTTGTTTGCTGTAGTTTGTAGTTTGTAGTTTGTGTGCTCCGATGCTGTTTGCTAGCCTTAATTTTAGTCTAATGGCAGATATCGAGATTCACCGTGCTTCCGGGCTCCACCCGTTAATAGTTGAACTTTAAATTCCTGCATTCGTTTCCAATTCTCCTGGCTGTCCTTCGTCCATCCGTGAATATTACTCCCGTTCTACGTTCCTCAATCCTCTTTAGCTATAGTTTTGTAAACTGAAGGTACCTGTAATGTTTCAACAATCTCTCGATCCGTATCGATCCCCTAGATCCTCTGCTCTGCCTACAGAAAACTGTCGCAGCTGTTCTCTGCCTCGCTATTGGAGCAATCCATGGCGGGCAGTGAAACGCCTCGTCGATAGTGCCACTGCCTCTGCTGCTGCTGCAGGTGCTGGTTATGGTGATGGTATCCATGACCAGCAATTGACACGCAACTGACGCTGGAACTGCTGCCGCTACCGGAGCCCTGGCCACTGGGACTAATGTGGCTGCCACATCTTCTGGAGGTCGAGGGCAGCTCCGGCAGGGCGACAGCGTTGAGCCGCGGAAAGTACTTGTACATCTCCAGCAAGTTGCCCAGCTTGACGTGCGGCTTGTACTCCACACCCTCCAACGATTGTGCTGCCGAGCTGCTATTGCTCAGTGGCATCCAGAAGGTGAGACCCAGCTGGGCCAGGTGGCCGCCCTAAATGCAAAGATTGATCAGTTGGTAGTGAGCACACTGGTGAATGGCCCCAGCTCAACCCACCTTGATGTCGGTCTCCAGTTTGTCACCGATCATGACGCACTCCTGCGGCTTGACATTGAGAAAGTTGCAGGCGGTGTAGAAGATATCCGGATGCGGTTTCTCCCATGGCAGATCCGATGAGACCAGCACGCAGTCGAAGTAGCCGCGCACATTCAGCACGGCCACCTTCTCCCACTGGGCGTTCGACGGTCCATTGGTGATGAGGGCCAGGACGTAGCCCGATTGGCGCATTCGCAGCAGCAGCTGGACATAGTCCGCGGGCACGGCTAGGTAGCGATACCGCAGCCTCAGCCACTTGGGGTAGATCTGCTCCGCCAGGTGCTTGTGGCGCGCTGGAAGGGATTCGCGCCACAGGTGAGTGCGCCACGAGTCCAGTGATGTTTGCGTGTTGTCCGGACAACGGCGGAAGGCCTTTAGAAAGTTTTGTGTGGCCTGAGTGGCTTCATCCTTGCCAAACTTGTACTGAGTCTCCAGAACTTCTGCGAGCTGAGAACGAAATGGGAAATTGTGCTAATTTAAAATATATACCAACAGGCAGCACCTATACGTTTCATAGATATGATAATGCCGCCAAAACCTCAGTAGCGTAAAAACTATAATTACGCTATGACGAATCCAGGATAAGATAAGTTAAGAACTTTCACGCTGTAAGTAATGAACTACCTGAACTTTGGCTAAAGTGAAGTTAAGACAATGTTAGTAAAAGTAATTAAAATCCGATGGCTACAATCTACAATCTAATTTATTGCGTCCACAAAGTTCTCAATTGAGCGTCAGATTGTCAAACCCAATCATTCGATCGAATCGAAGCCAATTGAATAATCGAACGTAATGCCGTAATCGCTATAGCATCGTCCTACTATCAGGGAATAATCATCAAACTGCAAGTGCCGCCGTTACACATGTCGCATGAGTAATATACATATGTACATATACTATTTTATGGTTGCAATGATAGCTTGGAAGTTTCCATTGGTTATCTATTTTCCGGCTTAACAATCTGCTTATGTAAAATGGTGCTAGCATCAGGATGCTAAGCGCATACAAATCATAAGAAATCACGTTGCAATCCTTGTGATTTGCCACAAGAACTGGTTACGTACATACATATGTGCCCACAAGTCATGAGTTCCGAAACATAAATGGGTGGGGCACCGCCCGCTGCCAATTGAAAGCAACTGAATAAAGAAACTGACTTATTTGGGGTCTGTGAACATAGCATATTGAAACGCGAAGGTGGTAATGAAGTTAGCTATCTAAATTGGAGCAGTTTAAAAGATAAGGCGATATAATCTGGAATGCACAAATAGGTAAATTTACGTGACATAGAACACATTTTCAAGAATACCTTTCTCTCTTGAAGGTAAACGCAGATAAGCTACCTTTGCTAAACAGAGTTTAACCCTTAGACTCAATTACCGAAAGGATCCTATATAATAAATGATGTCAATGAGCTCTGAATGTTCAAATAAGCACCTATTGTGAAGTGCTACCTATTACCATCAATTAACCTTTAGCCTCATTGAGTGCCATTCAATTATAGCCAGAGGGTTATGTGTATTTCAAAAGAAACCATTGTTTGGATAAATTATGTTCAAGTTTCTAGTCTTTAAATATGTTATCTGTTATGATGGCATTAAGATCCCTTACAGACGCTCCTATCGAATTTCGTTACAACCAAGTACGCCGACTTCCGACCTTTTTGCAATCACTAGCCGCCTAGAGTGCACATTTAATGATAATGCGCCCCATGATAAGATCCTTTTAAGTGCCTTTGAGCACTTCGAAAGCCAAAGATCCCCAATTTCCAACGCAATGCTGATGTATTTGTTGGGTTCCTTCGTGCTGACAGCCTTCTAGAGTGCATGTACCCGTGGTTATATTTAAGTTAAGACCTTGTCGAGTGCACCGCTCAGAGTTTTACTTTTTTTCGCTTTGTTGGGGAGGCATTTGGGGTTGGGGGATGTGAAGGGAAGGGAAAGGCAAAGGAAATCGCAACGGAACGCAAATAAACAATCGAGTTTCGGGCGCGTGCTATCAACCGAGCGTCCGGGTTTTTTTTTTTTTGACTACGTAACAACGGACGGGCTGCAGTGGAAAATTTTCTAGACCGCCTGCTGCGCACTTTCACCCCTCTCCTGGAAAAGAAACTGATTTTTGGGACAGGGAGGCTGGCAGGCTGTCCACTTTTGGCTTGGTTAACATAACTCACCTTTCTGATCGCCTTGGAATCGCCGGCTCGGGTGGGTATTAACGTGTTGTCCAAGTCAAAGTAAAAGGCCCTGATTTTCGCACATGTCGCATCGAAATGTGAATGTGTGGCTGTCGATTGCTTGCCGCAATGGAATTTGCTAGCTGCCATGGGAGTCGTCGAGCGGAGGGGGTGAGGGGGGTTGGGGGCTGGGCGGCTGTGCGTGGTGGCACTGTCAGGGGAGGGGCTGCAAGATCAACTTTGGTGCAATGCTAAAATCCGCCAGCGGATTTGCGATTCGAAATTTGGCGCCAAACGAAACGAAATGTACGAGCTGCACCACTGCAGCGGCAATGCAGTGTTTTCCGATTTTCCTCGAGCGGACGGGCAAAAGATTCCGCTTCTCGCGCGGCGAAGTTAAAACGGCAACTGAATGGCAACGAATAAAAAAAAATAACGAAACGGAACGGGAGCGTTCGCAGTAAGGTCGAGAGAGGGGGTGGCGGGCAGGCGGAACAGGTGAGCGCGGGTGTATGTGTGTGCGTGCGTGTGTGTGAGTGCTCGTGGACTGAGTGAGAGCGGAGTAGCAACTGAAAAACTGAAAGAAAGTGCGAGCGCGCATGGGAAAACAGTGGCGTCCACAAGTCTGCGCAAGCGAACAGTGTGACCAGTCTGGGGCGCCAATTAGCCTCTAAAGCTTGACAAGCTATTGTGATTCCCCATTTTAATGAAATTAAGATTCAGATTTTGAAATAACGACCGTGAAGTTCAATTTGATAATTGGTTAGACGACTGTGAACTCTTCTTTTGCACAACTGCAGCACAGCACATGTGCTTTTTGCAAGCACATACTTTTTGGCGTCACTGTGCAAAGTGTGCCAAGTGCTGTTTGCGCGCGAGAGCGAATGAGAGCAGGCGACCTCGCGCAGAGTTGTCTCTATGCGCCGTTAAGCGACCATGAGCGGAAAAGAGAGCACGATAGAGGTCGCGGGAGGGTCCCGTTGCTTTGCAGCGACGCTTGCTCTCCATTCTGAATTTAAAATGAATCAGAGGCACACTAATTTCTTGATTGTTTTGCAAGTTATTATTAAATTCTATAAATAAAACCAGGAAAAGCAACAACAACAGTTCTTTGTTTACCAAAAATATGAGTTGTTTTATACTTCCTGGTGTTTTATAGCACTGTCTTATCGGATAATCGATAGTCTTCGATAGTGATTGTTAAAAGTGGCAACGCTTTGTTTTTTTTTGGCTGGGTGGCAAGTGATTAGCCCACGGATTTCTTTGCATCTTTCTGTGTTTTCTTTTAATAGTTTTTGGAGTTTTTCAAAATTTCCAGCGATGAGCAACGCGGAGACAACAACGAATTTGTTTTCTACAGGTGAGTGAATATTAAAAACACCCGGAATGCCCAATAAAATGAGATTTTCTTGTAGAAACCATTCTGAATGCGGTGGACGAGGAAGTGGAGAAGGCTTCAGCGGCTAGTAGGAGTAGGATATCGGCCGAAGAGGAAATCCCGGAGAGCAAGGACCAGCCTGACACGGCTGAGGACGAGCTTATCTCTATGGAAACGCTACGCCCCTCGCCTGTCCAATGGCCGGAGCGATGTGAGTGTAGAAGACGTGAGCACCCACAATTTGGCGCCATTTTTAACGACTTTTTTTTTCGTTTCGGTTGCTCCAGTTCCCGGAATGGACGAGTTCCTCACCATGAGCGACACGCCGATCTACACGCGCAGCACGGACTACGCCAACAATCTGACAATGGAGGACATGGCCAAGATCAATGGTAAGTAGCTGCAAAGCCAATGATAAAATCGCTTGGCAGATGGTTACCAGTTCTTAAAAGTTCTACAAATTTAAGAACAGTATGCCATGTATACATTACAGAATATCCACTACATACTTATCTTTTTCCAGAACTAGCCCAGCTCAGTCCCAAGCAGCTGATCGAGAATATAAAGTCAATGCATGATGAAATTTACCAGCTGGGACTGCGTGAGGCAAAGGAGATGACTCGTGGAAAGCTGCTGGGCATCTTTGACCGGGATCGTGTTCCTAAGCGGCAGCCTTAAGGCAGGATGATCCGATCCCTGAAAATGGGACTGCCAAGGATCTCTTTGAAGTCGAATTAGGAACATAGGCGTAGTTTCATAGTGTACATAGTGCTATTTTTATAGTGAGTAATGCGAGTTGTGAATGCATCGCAATTTTACAAAGATAAATAGGCGTTTGAACAGTAACTAACGTTTATTTCCATTAAAGCATTTTGGGTCCTACGTCGCTTGTATTACAGATACATTTGATGAGTCGGAGGAGAGATGAAGTTGAGGGATTGGCAAGGAATGCAAAAGGATCAGGAGTTTTGGAGACGGAACAGTAGATTTCGCTATGCAGGGACATTAACGCAACAAATAACTCTGTCTATGTGGGCTTGGATGGATCGGTCACTCTAGTGCCTCCTATTTATACTTACTAAATGCTTTCGTTCAGATTTATATAGTAGCCTTTCCCACGATCCATCCCAATGTGGAAAAGTGTATTGGTGCTGAAGATGTGCTTACATTCTGTTTCCCGTAAATATATCCTGTAATCTGTAATCAATTCCCATTACTCCTGCCATTGCATTCCGAATCGCTGCTCAAAGGTGATACGATTAAAGACGCCCGCATCGGCCAGCTGCAAGGGATCAGTGTAGTACGCAAACCGCCGTATATCCAGCATGGCCAGGTCGAACATTTGCTTCCAGCTGGTCAGATCGGTGACGCTCATGTGGATCGGCAGCTGGGGATCCGGTATATCGATTGCTGCCTGCAGTCGGTCAAATGCCTCGGCAATTGGTCCCACCGACAGATTAACCCAGTACTCCGCTGGAAACCGCTTGTTCTCACAGAACGGCGCGCCCTTGCGCATGATGAAGACCAGCATGAGTATCTCATAGCGCTCGGAGCTCTCATAGAAGCGCTTGGTTCGGGTCTTCTCCACGAAATCGATGAGAAGGATCAGGGGCGTGTAGTTCTGGAGGTGCATCAATAGCTCCCGATCGGTCCAAAGGTAACGACCGCCTTTGACGGTCAGCAGGCTCATGTTGCTGGCGAGTTGTTGGTGCTGCTGCTGCTGGTGGTGCTGCTGCTGCTGCTGCTGAATGTGTTGCTGTTGCTGCTGATGTTGCTGGTGTTGCTGCTGCTGCTGCTGCTGGTGTTGCTGCTGCTGGTGCTGTTGGTGTTGCTGCTGCTGGTGCTGCTGGTGAATGCCGCCGGCGGATGGGGCTGGAGTTCCGGTGCTCGATGCCACCTGGCTGGGCATGGCGACCACAATGCCCGTCTGTCTCTGGCAGCCAATCTCCTCCACCATGTGCGCTGCGATGACGACAAAATGCAATTAAGACAAGTGCCTAAACCAGGCCAAGGTCGCTGCGTAGGCCGAGCACCCAGCCACCCACTACCCGCCCTTATTACTTGTTGCAAATAGCGAGGCAGCAAACAGCAAACGCGCAGCAAGTCAAAGGCTACGGTAATTGCAATCGACTTACTGCGTGCCCCAATCAAAGCGGCGGCAATTATATGAGGCGGATGGATAAGCGGGGCTTTGCGGGCCTGGACTTGGATCGGGGTACGACTCTGGCCACCAGAAGCAATGGTCTATCTCCTCCGGCAGCTCTGCGTGTGTGCCGTGCGCCCTGGACGATTGTTGCCACGCGAGTGCTTCCCCAAGTCAGAAGTCGGGGCCACTCGGACCCGCGTTCTCGTTGCACTCGGTCTCAGTTTTCGGACTCGGTTGCGCCAGCCGATGGGCATTTGGATGTGCATATAGGAACTCGGCCCGTTTGGCAATGAACTTATTGGATGCGTTCTGCGCTGGCTGCGGCTCGCAGATTTGTTACCAAGCAAGCTGCCAACTCTAAAATGTATGTCCCCAAGCGATTGATTCAAAAATAAATGCGAAAAACATATACACAGCTTAAAAAATGAGGAATTTCATGTTTAAATTACAAAAAGTCTAGACAGGAAATCAATTGTTAGTATTTTCCACTTTCCTATGCTTAAACATATTAAACATTTATACGTACAATTATATACAAATTTAGTTTGCATTTAAATAAGAGTTGTTAAATTGCAAGTGTTTTTGAGCACCCTGTTATATTCACCTTTGATTTTATGAAAAGCTTATTAAAGCTCATCAGTTTATCAGCAAACGAAATCGAAGTTTTGATGAACATAAAAGTGGTTTTAAATTTCCAATAATGGTAAATTGTTGATTTAAATCAACCTTGGGCGGTAAATAGGTAAACAACTTGGGGAAGCGCAAAGCAAAATGCCTCAGTAACTACATTTGCTTTCAATAAGATCTCACATGTTCCCACAATATCACGATTAATGTAAATTTGTAATAATAATAAGTAACGGTATAGAGAAATTCTAATAATATTCATGTACACCAATGTATAGCATTTTATATTATAACTAGTCTTAGTAGTATTATACACGCCCCACTAAATACTATCAAAAAAATGCAGCCGGGGTCAATATATTTGAAAGAAACATATCCTTGGGATGACAGCCTGAAAACTCTTCTACCAAAATGCCTATAACTTTGTTAAAGACTGCCCACCCTCCGATCGAACTCGTCCTTGTGCTCATTCTTCAGGTACTTCCGCATCCCGACGAGCATGTAACGCACCTTGGGTGCGGATAGGACATCCAGGAGTATGGCCATCAGGTCCTGAAAGCTCTCATAGGTGCCATTTTTATACTCCAGCAGTGCTTTGCCGAAGCGGCGGAATTGATCCTGGGTGACTAGACTGCGTAGCTGCAAAGTAAGATAGAAAATTAGTTGCCGTATAAAAGGAAACTTCAATTTAACCCACCGCCCGGAGAAAATCTGCCCTTTCTTCAGGTGCCGCCTTAGCCTGCGAACTGCTTGGCTCCACCTTGATGTTCTCCACCAGCTTATATCGCTTTTTGGACACCTGGCTGGAGGACTCTGGCAGCGTCGGTGAGCTGCGCTCCCGCTTATGAATCTTCACCAAGTCAGAGGAGCCGCTTTTACTATCCGTGCAGCAGTTAAAATCGATACTCTAGAAAGGGGCAAAACACTTTCTAAAGAACTAAATAAACACAAAGTAAAAGTAGATTCGTGGGAATCTCGTGTTTACCGAGACATTTGAGTCGAGTCGACTCATAAAGTCCATGGCACTGGGCGCCGCACCACCCAGTTTTCGTCCAGCGGCACTGGCATAATCGGCGGGTGTCCATGTCTTTATGGAATTAGCCATCTCCACTTTGCTACGAAGAAAAATAATAAATATTTCAAAGAGTCAACACGAGTGGAATGGCAAACAAGAGTTTGTTTACCCCTGCAGTGATGACAAAAGGCCAATGGGAATGGCTTATAACTTTTCACTTTAACCTTTTGAAATCGAATTTCGCTATCATAAATCTCAAAAATTGTACTCTTAAGACTACCAAATCCGATTCAGTATTGGCTACTATTAATTAGAATACAATCTATAAAACTGATAAGCTTGATCTGAGATCGCAGGTTACGTACATGGCGGATTCATTGGCTGATTTGAACGTGGCATTGGAACCAGGCTCCCGTTTCAGTTTTGGAATGGCGGCTAGTGGTTCATCCTCAGTCTTGCAGACGGTCTCCAAAGGCGCATCCGTTTCCCTCTCATCCGGTAGCTTCATCTGAAGATTTAAAAGAATTGCATTACAAATTGTGAAAACTGCAAATGCACCATAGACTCACATTCGCTTCGGCGTTCTTGAAGAACTGGCGCAGTTCTCGGACGATGGGGCCAAAGGGTGAGCATTGTGGCCGGTCGCCCAGGTGACCCCGAATCCATTTGGACAGCTGCTGGACCTGGGAGGCGTCCTTGAACCGTGAATCGCAGAGCAGAATGGCACCATAATCGTTGCGATGACGGATCACACGACCGATGGCTTGATTGACTGCCCTCGTGGCATCCAGATTGTACCATTCCTGACCACTTAACAGCTGATTCTCGCGCGTCCTATTCGCCTCCAGATAGCGACGTTTCAGTATCACCTTGGGATCTTTTAGCGGTGGGAATGGCAGACCCGTAATAATCACCGCCCGGCCATTGCGATCAGCAAAATCCAGGCCTTCGGAGACTTTGCCGCGACAAACAGCCATGAATACGGCACCCTTGGAGTCGCGTATCGCCTGGTAGAACTCTTCCATCGTGCTGGTGAACTGATCCTTGCTGCGCGGCTCCAGGAAAATCGGTTTCTTGCACGATATGTCTGCCCACAATCCACTGGCCTGCCACGCGTCCACGCACTTGTTCAACATGGGATACGATGGGAAGAAGACAAGAAGGCCGTCGGGTACTATCCGCGATACATTCAGAATTGTCTGTCCCAGGGAGCTGATGTACTTGGGATTATCACTGCAGAAGACGAAAGAAGGCAGATATAACAATTATGTTTAGTGCTATAGTACATTTGAGCAGCCTTAAGAAATTGTTACGTTGGCATTCCGTAAAGTTATATGATTCACCTGCAACAGAACTGAGTTATGTTTCGCCCAAATTGTTTATTTACTCATGGCATTGCCCATAAACAAATAAGCTTTTGGTGTGAATAATGCTCACCGGTTCGCGTAGTTCGATATCAGTTGCTGTCGATCGGGTCCAGTGCCAATGATCTTGACATACACCTGCGACTGGTCGACGATGTGCGGATTCTCCAGATGCTGGGCCACCGGAATGGCAAGCTCGGCGATCAGCGGCTTGAGGGGAGCCAGCGTGCCGCTGGTCAGGATTACGCTGCGCACTTGGGTGTTCAGCAGTTGTTCCATTCCGAAGCCAGGATTGAAGCACCAGAAGTTGATGATTTTGGCGACCTTACTTGTGCCACTGGCTGCAGCAATCGTTCCCTTGCCCAGCCAACCACCTTGCTGTTTAGCACCCTGTTGCTTTCCGTGTCCCTGCTTGGACTCCTCCATCTGGACATGCACTTTAAAGCTGGCGTACACCTTGCTCATCACGTCCTGCTTGTTGGCAAACACAATGGTCAGCAGATCGCTGAGCATCGTGAAGGTGCCGCCCTTGCGGATGCTCATCTGCTGGGAGGCCACAAGGAGGTATTGCACCAGTTTGTCCAGCAGGGATACTATTGTGGCAACGTTGCCGTAGGTGAACTATAATAAACGAAGTTACATTTTTAATAAGCGCTTTAATTTAAGATTAAGTGCATCCTTACATTCGCTTTGCCAAGCAGTTCGTACATTAAGGAGGCGGGAAAGGTTGTTCCTTCGGCGGCATTGTCCACAACCACGGCATCGATGGCCTTCTCCAACTCGAGCAGCATCTCCTTAAGCAGCGTAAGGTCGTCCAGGGTGAAGTCCTTCGGCTCATCTCCGGCCATGTCTTGCGACTCGCCGCTCGCAAAGACTTGCATGATATGCGTG